GAAGAAGGAGATGATGATCAAGCCTCGAAGAAGGGCGACATCAATGATGAGAAAAGAGACTTCAGAGAACAAGATGAGGTCGACAAATTTCTCAATCAAGAAGGAAAACCGACCGATGAGAACGATGATGAAGAGATAGCGGTCGATGAAATTAACATTGAAGAGTACGAGGCTGGAGAAGCTCGTGATGCAGTGATTGAGTACCCCAAGTGGATGCAGCGGATTGAGTTTGGATCAAAGGTCCTGCCGATCGAACCTTGCACAATTGGAGATGCTCAGCCAGAATTCATCAAGATCCTCCTGTTGCAGATTGGATTACATATCGTCAGGATCTACAGACTATTCCAACGGAACTTCTGTGGAGACATCGAGACGGCATGGAAACATTTTCAACAGAACCAGAAATTCAGGATGGACCTGGACTCAAGAACACCTTACCTGGGCGAGGATGAAAATGGTGAACTCATTGAACCAACTGCACAACAGATGAAAGAGCTCTACAAAGAGATCGGCCGACCAAATCAAAAGGACGACATCGGAGAAGAGGGATTCGTCAATGCATACTATGGAGCAGTGGTACTCAAAAGACTTCTCATATATACCCTTGAATGTGGCTACACGTATGATGACTTGCAAAACATATTCTTTGATGAGGAGATGGAGAAGCTGTCGAAACGTGACACCACAATGGATGAGATGAGAAAGACCACAGCGGCCCGCGACGCCCTCGACCGACAAGACGTCATGGTCAGAAGAATCATTGCAGGCGCATATAGGGTAAATGCTGTTTATTTCTTCAGGAACGTTGACTTTCAAGACACAATCACACTGAATCCAGTTGACATTGTGTGTGCTCTTCGTCCACCACTTCGAAGAATATCACTTTTACACCTGATCCTTCAGAATGGCCGACAATTGCCGCGACCTCTACTCCAAAAGCTATATGATGCGATCGATGACTACAATCACATCAAGCAACGGGAAGATCAACGACCAAGGTGGGGCATCCACTTGTCTGAAGCTCACATACTTGCGATTGCTGATACCCCGACTCCTGCTGATCGTGAACGTACCAATCCAGCCGCTGGCAAATCGAAAGCAGCCCCAAAAGCTGCACCAGCACTGGGAAGAGTGTCGAAAGCGAAAGCATCATCGTCAGCGACATGGAGAACAGTTGAAACCGCTCCTCCGCCAAAACAAGCTCCAGTGACCCCGCCAAAGAAGGGTGGAAAAGACCAAGGAAAAGGTGGAAAATCTTATTCACACCGTGGCGGAGACTGGAACCATCAGGGATACTATGGATGGGGAAATAGATGATTAAGCGATCTGACCTCTGCATAGGTCCCGATTGAACCTGGCGATGCGAGGATGCAATCATTGCTCGAGATTTACCTCTACTTCATTTTGAATGATTTCTGAGAGGACTCTGAGCCGGCTAATTTAAAACCACATTTTTTTTGAACATCATTGCACGATACGCTGAGTTTCTACAGCGGTCTACGTCTCAACCGACGAAGGAACGGGAAGGTAAACTTCTAGTTCCATAGTCATCTTTGTGTTTTGATTTTTTAATTCACATGCTTGAGTGGGACTCCATGCTGGCTACGCCACATCGGATGAACCTCAATGCTTGACACCGACTACGTCGTGTCGACATGCACGTGAACAGAACCTTTATCTTTTGGTAGAGATCGTAGCAAGCCGCCATGTAGATTTGAAGTTCTGAACGGACTTTAGCTCTCCATAATTCAACAAATGAACAGCTGCAGACGAAGTGGATCAATTTAAGGGACACTCCTTTGCGCGTGGCCAACAAAGTTGGCCATGCGTGGGGGGTGCGAATGGAGTGTAGGCTACGGATCACTGCACACTCCCATATAATTCAACTCTTAATTGTCCACCGCCAAGGGGTGCATCAATTTGCTCCTTTGGCTCAAGATTACTGCAGGTGCCAAGAGAAAAACGCCGCCATGCTGAAACTGCAATTCCCGTGTCGTCGTTGTTAAGAACATCAACCTCAAGATCAAACAACAGCACATAATCGGGGAGATAACCTCCGATTCACAGTGTATATATGTATATATATATATATAAGTATATTAGTATATATTACTATATATATTATAGACAACAGAAACATTTGGACATATTGATATATATATATATATATACATACAAATGCACTCATTGGTATGCATAAATATACAATGCCATTGGTACCGCACAAGGCCGTGGCGGAAGTTTCAAAGATAGGAAACCTATAGAAGACGTGAATTGTTGTGATGTATGAATGGCAGAGCGAACCAACTGATGGACCGAAAGGTGGTTGAGGCTCTGCGTCATTTGCGTCTCTCTCTCTAACTCTCTCTCCGTCACTTTCTCTGTGTGGCTCTCTATCTCTCCCTCTGTCTATCTGTCTATCTGTCTATCTGTCGATCTGTCAATCTGTCTATCTGTCTATCCGTCTATCTGCCTGTCTGTCTATCTGTCTATCTATCTATCTATCTATCTATCTATCCATCGATACATGTATCCATGTATCCATCTATCCATCTATCTGTCTATCTATCTATCTATCCATCGATCTATCTATCTATCTATCCATCCTAGTGTAGTGTAGTTGTAGTCGTGGTTTTGGTCGTAGTTGTAGTTGTAGTTGTAGTGCAGTGTAGTCTAGTGTAGTGTAGTGTGCTAGTGTAGCCTAGTGTAGTTGTAGTGTATTTGTAGTGTAGTATAGTTGTAGTTATAGTTGTAGTTGTGGAGTTGTAGAGTTGTAGAGTTGTATCGCAGTTGTAGTTGCAGTTGCAGTTGTAGAGGTGTAGTTGTAGTACGTTGTAGTTGTATTTGTTTGCAGTTGCAATTGCAGTTGCAGTTGCAGTTGTAGTGTGGTTGCAGTCGTAGGTGTAGTGTAGTTGTAGTCTGGTATAGCGTAGTGTAGTTGTAGTTGTAGCTGTGGGTGTAATTGTGGTGTAGTTGCAGTCGTAGTTGCAGTTGTAGTTGTAGTGTAGCGTTGTCTGGATCCTCTTCAAACGTCCCACGCCGGCCGTCGTTTTTGCAACTACTGCGAAACCCGCAGGTTTTGCTCACTTTTGGCAAGATGCAGAATCCTGTGCCTGCCACGAAAAATGACCGTTGAACGCCCAAAAGTGGTCCGAACGTGGTGTCTTTATCATGTTTACTTCGAAGATCTTCGAAGTGTGCTTTGCGCCGCAACGACGTGCACAATTTTGAACAGCTCAACGTCCAAAAGTGTTCCAACACTGTGGCGTTTTTACCATTTTCACTTCAAAATGTGCTTCGCGCCGCAGCCGCGTGCACTTTTTGAACAGCTCAACGTGTGTTTTGTACATGTTGACTTCGAAAAGTGCTTCGCGCCACAACGGCGTGCACTTTTTGAACAGCTGAAATTCCAAAAGTGCTCCGAGACCGAGGTGTTTTGAGTATTTTGACTTCAAAGCGGGGTGCAATTTTTGATCTCGCATCTGCCCAGAAGGCAGGTGCGACTTTTCTATTCTTTTCTCTTCTGACTCTTTCTCTTCTCTGACTGCTCTCACTACTCTTGCTGCATCTGTCCATATTCTCGGACCGAAGTTTGACTTCAAAACTTCCTCCCGCAATATAGACATGTGCAGGCATGCATACACAGGTTTTGCAACAGCTTCCATGAAGATGCAAAGTACACATCTCATGATTTCGGGCACCGCAGCTTCAACAAAATAGTCAAAAGCTAAACTTTTCTACAAGGTGTTGTCTCCCCAGTTTCAATCTTAAAAACCTCATTCGCAACCCAGTTAATCTTGCCTGGCAACTTGGAAACTTGACCCGGAGTAGATCTGGTGAGGTTCAGCTACAAAATAGATAAGCTTGACATACGGTACACTCTATACATACATATATACATTCTGAAATAGCATCGTACATGATATGAGATGTGGTAGATAGAATATTACTTTTTCACTCGTGATATCATATATGCATCACATATCATTTACACATAGCCATGTAATTTGATGTAAATTGCACACTACTACATTTAATCTAATAAATATACATATGTATATATATATATATAGACTTTAGACTTCAGACATCTTTAGACAATATTACATATTATTACTAGCATATGTGCAGCTACACATGACGCCATACGCAAGCAGTGTTTTTCCCAAGGTTCACATTGCGACATTGCTGATACGTGTTTCCTCTTATCTGCTGACTCTAGCTGTGTTTGTTCAGCAACTCAATACTCATTATTTTCATCAACGTATCGCATGCATCATAATTTCTACATTGAACGTGTATACACTATTCATTTCGGAATTTAAAACAAATATTGTAAGTCATATGTTCGGTACCCAAATTTCGATATGCTATCCAATAGTATGTGTGTTAGATATCCGGTACTATTCTAAAAACCACATATCAAATAATGCGATACATTTCAGATACTCGATGTCATATATTCACTACATCTATGCACCATTATACACCATTGCGTACACATGTCCAGACCATATAGTACATCGCATTTCCTATCCAATGTGTGCGCGCGCGCGTGTTGTACATTATTATACACATGTGTGCTTGGTTCCATTACTGTACCATTGGTAATATCATAAGCATACACCCGCCCACCCACCCATACACACACACAGTTTATGTCGTATATTGAACATCACCAATTTTAAATTCCGTAAATCATCGGACTAAATGGGCCATTTTGAATGTTCGGTAGCAACGTGTCAAATTAGCGGCGTAGTATATATGACACATAACTGGCAATTTTCCATCTGTAAATGGACCCTTTCCATATATATATATATATCTAACATATACCCTCCAGTAAACTAAGATAGAGGTGAGAAAAACACCATTTCTAGATCATTTTCCTAAGGAAGCCATGGGTTTCCCACATTAAATTCCATGTTATGTTGACCCTAGGGCAAAAACCACACCCAAAGCATACGCATTGAAAGTGGTCGTCGGCGTGCCGTGCTGAGGGCAGCTATGAGGGTCAGGTGCTGAGGCACATCACCGAACACCTGAAGCAACTCGGCGCGTCGAAACCATCGGGAAGTCATGAAGGAAACCTGCAAGTTGGGACATGGGACCCCTATAATTATGGTTATATATCCGTTAAATTCCAGGTGCAATGTCAATGGGGTGTTAATGGGATTCTAATGGGATGCTGATGGGATTTCAATGGGATCTTGATGGGGATATAAAACCCAATGATGTTTTTGGTTTTGGTGCCTGAAAGCTAGGGGAAAACTCGCAATGATGGTTAATGGTTAAACATCAAACATCCCATGAACATGTCTACCTTATTGGTACTACTATACTATATACATCATTTGCAGACAGACCCTTATAGGAATTATCTCACATTGTGAATTCGGTGGACAATGAGAATTTGTACTTACATAACAAGATCTAATATAATTAACCAGCAACAACTACACTCACGATTCTATGAGTACTTCCAATTGTCCAGCTATAATCGGTTAGATAAAATTGGTATAACGGGCTATTGATGTAATTCATGGGTAAGTGGTTCATAATTGTTAGTTGTAACCCCATTCCAACAATCCCGTTATAAATAACCCAATTGTGCAGTTATAATGGATTAGTTGTCGCAATAGAATCATATATATATATAATATGCAGTAACTGAAATAATCAGGGGAAGGGATACAAGAGCGCTTTAATTTGGATATGAAAAACACATATCAATTCACTTACGATCTCCCAACTCGGATAGACCCTGAACATCGCCAATTTTTAGCTGTAGTCGTCCAACGCCCTGGTTGGCAGGCTCTTTGTTGGGGGGTGGTATAGCCAGTTTGGTTTGGGGATGGACCCAGAAGAGTTCCGGAAAACCAGCCATTGCCAGCCATAGATGGTAACAATAAGAAATTGAACGACAACCAGCCCGGTTCAACCAACCATTGAAACTGGCCATAAGTGGGACCATTTGGGGATTTGTGATGGGATATACCACGATTCCCTATAAGTAGGAAACAATGGAAATTGGATTTGTCCAAAAATGGGTCATTCACCCAAAAGGGTATGGGCCGGGAGTATAGAACCATATAAATCATATAAAACCAACCACTTTATGGGTAGAGTTTCTGTGATATATATTTTCCCAACCATATGATTGTGCTTTTCCAGAAATCGTGGGCGGTACCAAATTTTATCGCAAAAATTCGTCGGGAAAATGACAAGCCGTGAGATTTTGCGGTACTTTACCCTAGGGTAAGATGTACATTTACATGTACATGTATACCTATTAAGTATCCATATGTATGTTATACACATATATGTACATAGTGTTCTTTCTTTCCTGTTTGTCAGGAGCACTGCTTAGAATTTTGGATGGCACTGTCCTAGAATTGGATGAAGGGAACATTTATAGGACTCCTCATAAATAATCCAGCAAAACCATTCTTCTCCTTGTGTGTGTGCGCCGTGTGCGCTGACTTATTGGCACTGAGATTCCACGAGATTTACTTGGCGCTGGGAACCAACGTATAACATCGATATAATGGTAATATAATGGAATGCACAGCCAGGAAGGTGATTTTTGGGTCTGAAAATTGGGCACCTGGTTTTCCATCATCTATGGAGAAAAAAATCAGGTCCCATGTTCTGCATATCTTCGGCCCTCACAGGAACCCCGTTGCAGCCTCGGATGTGAACTTTCAGTTGACCATCGTGAATACACTGCTGGATAGGCTGGGTGGAAACGAAATCGTCCATGAATCTGGATGAATGATGGATATTAAATGGGAATTATCCCCATGGTGGGCCTCATTGGTCAGTGAATTATCATGGGCAGCAAACCAAACCCTTTCCTAAGAATCGCTGATTCCTGGTACAGCCTATGGCCGTCTGCAGGTCAACCCGACCAAGGGTTGGCCCAAAAAATGCGGTTGCTGAGCTTCTGATGGCGGTCATGATTATCTGAAAGATTCGGAAAGAAAACCACCTAACTGACCTAAGGACCTAAGTGATGAATGAATCATCATTCCTATAGATTCCTATTCAGATGGCCACGAATTTGAGGGTATACTAATTCCATTTATAATTCCTATTCAGATGGCCACCATTCCTATATATTCCTAGTGATGAATATACGTTTTATCATTTTCAGACGCCATGGCCAGGCTTGCCAAGTGGCCGCTCCTCTGCAGTGAAATCTCAAGGCCGATCCTCCTAAGATGATGACTGGTGATTCTCCATCAATTGGTTGGTTCAATATGTTGAAAATTCTGGGGGAACATAGGGTACCCCTGCAGAAAAATTATGTTTCATTCTGGGGTCCATAGGGTATACCATGGTATACCTACATCCATTGATCCACAATGATTTTAAGTGTGGTTGCAGCCTTAAGAAAGGAAGTGGAAAAAAGCCTCAGTGAGCCCCAGGATGCAGGAAATGTCGGACAAGCTGCCACCCTTGAAAAGCTATGTCTGGGAGCTTGGTTTCTTTCCAGTGGTGGTGGAACATCAGACTCCAAAAACTATCAAAAGCTGCTTCGGTCTGGTAATTTAGCATAGCTAAAGGGTGGTGCTACATATATAGTAGCTAAGTTGGTGCCAAGTCTTACGGTACTCAGGTCTGTGGTAGATATATCTATGGTATTCTATAGTTCATTGGTGATTGAACAAACATAACTCCCTTTGGCACACCACCTCGCACGGAAAATCGGTGAATCCTCGACTTCCAGAGGCTCGAATTTCATGACTCCACCAGCAGAGTGGGACTGACGGATGGCCGGATAGCCCTTGCTGAAAATGATCAGACCGTTCTCATCCCCATCATGTCCCCATTCGACCCGAATTTGGTTCCTAGTTTTTCATCCCCTTTTTTCAACCACTAAATCACCCCAAAACTACTGGGAAGATGACAGCGACAAACCAGTTGGACGTTCGAAAACTCAGGTGGAGTACACCTCGAAAATCGTCAACTTGATCAATCCGGAGACCAAACGGGGGAACGGAACAGAGTGGGTGGAACAGTCGCCAGCACGGGCACAGAGGATGGGTCTGTATTGGAACATCAAACATCCCTAAAATATCTAAAATTCCTTGGATCATGGTTTCTCCTTGTTCTTTTGTGGATGTTGACTTGCTTTATGGATTGATATTGAATGATATTGATTCATGTTTTTCGTCACGCAGATCGGGATATGACAGATGACATGTTTTTCGAGGCTGGTCCAGGCCCATGGGTTTCTTCCTATGAACAATGAACAGAGCCCAACCGGGATACCGTTTCCCCTCGATGGCTGTGGCTCAAAATGATTTACCTACTCCAACATTGGATGGTTCAACACCGAAAACGACCAATTTCTGTGAGTCCAGTGTGCCCATGGACCGGCTTGGATGTCCAATTCTGGACCTGCCTCATCCTTGTTGTGTTGCTGATACAGCTAGGTCATAGTGGTTGCAGTGGTTGCATCATGTTGGATGTACATGCACTTGTAGATTCTAGATGCAGCATATCACTCAGATCCCGTTTTTGGGTTGCCTTCATTCTCACATCGATTCCATCGATTCCGCGCCAGGAATCTCGAAAGTTGAGCAGCTTGCCACAAGCTCAACTCCTGCGGATCCAGTACCATATCCCGCATGCACCGTCAAAGGAAGCGATCCAGAGTGCCTTGGACCCAATTCCGAAGGGGTGAATCCCAACATTTTTGGGATTCAAACAGTGACACAGTGCCACATCACAACAAAACAAGCCAAACAAAAGAAATAGACCAAACCAAGCAAACCAAACAAACCAAATAAACCAAATAAACCAAATAAACCAAATAAACCAAATAAACCAAATAAACCAAACCAACTGAACAAACCAAACGAAAAGAACACACAAACACACAACAAACCAAACCAAGCCAAACCGAACCAAACCCAACCGAACCGAACCAAACCAACCCAAAAAACAAACAAGCAAAGACGCAAACAAAACAAGCACAACAAGCAAACAACCAACATCGGGATTTGATCCAGACAGAGGAGGGGGGGATAATGTTTTTTTCCTCGCCATGACATCGCCATTGGGGTGAATCCTGATTAAGATGACACACCCAGTCATCATCTGATGATAAGTTGATTAAATAACCCACTAGTCATCTCAAGTTGGCTAAACATATTCCATAAAAATCATGTCAAGTCGAACATATATATATAATATAATTATACATATATATATATATAATTATATATATATCACATTAATATCCCCATTAAATAACCACTATGGGTGTCAATACCCCATTAGTGGGATAGATTCAGAAACGTTTTTTTCGCAATCGAAAACTTGATTTGCAAACACGATCCCAAGTGATGAATATTGTCTAATACAACTGATGAATATGAATATTGTATCTTATGGTTTGAATACACATAATATATATATATATATATATATATTCAGTATATATATATATTCAGTATATATATATATTCAGTATATATATATTCAGTATATATATATATATTCAGTATATATATATACATACGCACAGTGTATATATATATATACATATGTTATATGTATACCTATCGACTTGTGACGACGATCCTTGCTGACAAGGAAAAAAAGGTTGGGTTGAAGCCACCAACCATCACCAAGCATTTTACTCATCTTTAGGGTGGAACCATATCATTGTTTGAGGATGTTTGAGGCAAGGCCAGAAACCGAAACGCAGGATACACAATTGATTAGGGTCTTGGATGAAGAAAAAAAAATATCCACATGAGTGCAACACGGAACCACGGAGGTTGCTGTACACATTTTTTTTTCGAGTCGTGACCCTTTCTGAACGTCTCAAGCAGAGAGTCATTGCCCTGGGGAGAATCTAAGGTTTCTGTGCAATGTGTGCAAGATTTGACGACTGCAGTCTCAGCTAATGTGGGTAAAACAATGTCATAAACCAGCCATGACTGGGAATGGTAAAGATACCATCTATAAAAGTGGTGATGACTGGGGGATGGTTTGTTATTGTTTTACCCACATTACTTGCACTTGAAATCTTCACAAGAACCCCACAATTTCTGTGGACATTGAAGGAAACCCGTAATTGCCAAGATGGGACGTTTTACTTCCTTTGGACCCAGCTTGGAGCAAAGGCCATCGCACTTAAGAAATATCACATTTCAGTTCGTTGAATCGGATATAATGGAATTTTAGTGGCGCCATACCAGTCAATTGACATATTATAGTAGCCATATTCGTTAATCACATGCTAATCAATAACATCTTTAAATTATTCCATATACATATATATATACAATATCTATATCTATATCTATATCTATGTCTATGTCTATGTCTATGTCTATATCTATACATACTTAGTTAATAGCATATGAGTAGCCATCCTTTTTGTTTCCGCACGTCCTTTCCGTTTGATCCCCGTTTGACTCCGCCCTTTCCGCCAGCCTACGATACCGTCAAAGAGAACTGGGTCCCAGGACTTGCGGGAGAATCGTGGATGAAAAACATGAATGTTACCCTCTGGTAATGACTAACATATCATGGACATATCATGGGAAAATGGTGGTTTAATGGGATTTAATGGGATTTAATGGGATTTAATGGGATTTAATGGGATTTAATGGAGATATACCCTCTGGTAATTTGATGGTTTTATGGCTTTGTGAAAGAAAGCCTCTGTTGTTGATGGGGCACTGATGATCACGAAACTATTTTAGGCGAAGAATTTGAGGGATGTTCCTGGGCCTAGCATTTCCTTGCTACTTGCATGGTCTGGTCTGGTTTGGTCTGGTCTATCTGCATTATGACACAGGGTATTATCAGAATCACATGTGAACCCATCGTCCCCTTGTGCCATTGGATAAAGAGTGCACCATGAAGTAAAATAGTAAAAGAGAGTACTCTCCAATCTCCATACTTTTTTGCGTGCTGCTTCTGCGCCACCAGGAACCTTGTACGAATATGTCCACCCCCGCGTAACACTCTCAGTTTTTTTTTTTGCGGCCAGCCGTTTGTCGTCATAGGCACCGGAACAAATAGGTACATGACGTCAAATTTTGATACACAATTCCAGCTCCCATACCGGCCCGATCCCAATCGACAAGCATATTTTGTGGAGGTGGCTCAAGCACCAGCGTTATCCTGCTTTTTTGGTTTCAGCAAAAATTCACAGGAAAGCACAGATGTGGGTAAAATCACATCTGATACAGTAGTTACCCACTGATAGTTACCCATGGTAATTTCCTTTAAATACTCCTTGAACCAACCCACTGATAGTTCCTTGTTCCTCTCCCATCATATTTGGGGATCAATCCATCAATCCAGTGAAATCAAAGGGTTTGTTTTCGCTCGCCAAGGACGAGCAGCTTGGTTGCAGATGGGCAGCAGCGTTGATCACAAAGCAGTTTGACATGAGCAGTGTTACCCCTTGCTGGTTGACGCGGATGATGTTAAGGGGGATTATACTGCCAAATATATAGGGGATTTTCACAATCTATTGGAAATAGAGCCTGAAGATAGATGGACGTACTAGTAAGAACTAACCAGGATAAGCGTTTTTTGTTTGGAAAGGCCAAGTGTGATGTTTTTCACGTAATAGATTGAAGATGATTGACCCCCTATCGGAGAATTCTGTTTAATTCACTGGGGAATCTTCTGGAGATTTTTGTTGGTAGGGGAACCTGAAGCAAATCTAAGATAATGCTTTGCAATGTCATGTTTCATAATCGTCTATATTATATATATACAATTTTGGTCTATACATATATCTATACTATTCATGAAAATGATCATCGACCATCAGATTCTTAGGGAATTAATAATTACACAATTTTGAAACAAACACAGATGCTATCCAAATTGTTCACATTGAGAATGGCAAATCTACAGGAAACCATGGCGAACAACCATCCAAATATGAGTTTTTCCTGCAAACACACTCCCTTTTCAAAGACACCCATTCTGGGAAATTTCGGACATGATTTTCAAGATTTTGCGGGTCAAAATTCACCATGACCATGAGTCCCTACCCTCTGGTAAACTAACATAACTATGGAAAATCACCATTTTTCATGGGAAAATCCACTATAAATGGCCATTTTCAATAGCTATTTTGACATAACCAGAGGGTACTAAAATTGCAAAACCAAGCAGATTTTGGTGGGTGGGTAGCCTATCCCTGCCAGGAGGAGAACGGAGGCTGGGCTGATGCCTTGGTGACTACAGACAGAAGGTGTTGTTCAAAGGCAAAAAAAATAACGCCCTCCCAGAGGTGTTGTTCAAAAACATGATTTCAGAAGGTGTTGTTCATGTTTTTCATTTTGAAATCAGGTTTTACTGGAGTTTGTTGCTGCCCAATGGTGATAGTGTTTCGCGATAGTGTTTCGCGATAGTGTTTCGCGATAGTGTCTGAATCCCTCCCACACGTAGAACTATTCAGGTTGAGGGCGGGAGCAACAATCCTAGGCGAATGGACCTATTTTGGTGGGCATTTTCCCTATGACAAGGCCAACTGGTTAATGGGATACACTAAGTGGTTTTTATTGGAAGAACATTTTTAGGAATCCCCTTAATATTTGGCTGTTAAATTTTTAAGGTTTTGTGAATTACCCTCTGGTAATTTAACATAGCTATGGAAAATCACCATTTTTAATGGGAAAATCCACTATTAATGGTCATTTTCAATAGCTACGTTAAATTACCAGAGGGTATTGCTCAATCCCATGCTCAATCCAACCCACATTTTGCTTCGTCACGATCCCAAACACATCGACAGCATTTGTTCAGGCGAAAGCGGCCATGGCACGGCAGAATCCACCTCCAATGTCGAAGTCTCAGGGAAAATCCCATGGGATGACAGCCATCATGTTCCACGCACTATGGCGCCATATAAATGTACCCTCTGGTAATTTAACATAGCTATGGAAAATCACCATTTTTAATGGGAAAATCCACTATAAATGGCCATTTTCGATAGCTATCTTAGTTTATCAGAGGGTAGGGTCCCCAAACTATTGGCCCCATGGGGATGAAGTATGGATCCCCACATGTCTTGAAAATCCAGGGCTTGTGAAGGTTGCCACTAGAAACTCACCCAGCATTGCCGCAGCTAGCCATGAAGCCATTACAATATATTACAATGATATCTTTCGAAAAAAGGGGGAAGTTGCTGGTGGATTGGGGCCTCCCCAAACAATTGATAGTGTTCCTATTGCACGAATCATCCAAGAAAATAAAGTGAATAGTAAAGTGAAATAGCGTTGCCGTAATCCAATCCTTTCTATCCGAATGATGTCTTATGTTTCAATCTTTTGGGACCCTCTATGGATGTGGGCCATTGACTACGACGTGACTACGAAAATCAAGCTACTGGTAGTCCATGGCCATGGCATCCTTGTCCAGCAATCTTTCACATTGCTCGGAAGCTTCTGACTTTGACTCCATACGTTGTCTGAAAAACGTAGGTACCCCTAAATCCACTGTTTAATCTTGAAATAGCTCTTCGGGGGTATATCTTCACACCCATACATGAGTCCTTAAAGCGATGCGATAGAGCCGCAAGAGCGAATTCTCGAAGATAGTACTCCGAGAAAGTTAAAACCCATGCCACGAGAGTGACCGGATAGTGATTGGAAGAGATTTGCAATCAGGTTTTCCATCTGACCATTATAATTTTTCCAGTTTTTCCGTGACTTAAAAAATGACTTTCCCATATGTTTCCCACAGAGATTTTTGCACCGCCATAGATCTCAGGCCGCCTCCTCCCAAGGCCGGCGGCTCCGCGGTTTTTTGAAACGGAAACTCATCGATCTCAATGGACGAAAAAACATGGACCGATTCAGCAGGCTGAGGCTGAACTTTCCACAATTGACATGCAGACAAGCCTGTAGTTCAGGGAATTTCAGGCTGTCAACTAACCTGTGCACATCTGCTCCACATTCCAGGTCATTGTCAAGAGACATGAAGAGATATTTCTAACTGAAATACTGTCCATTGAGGGGAGTAGCCTCCAGCAATTTTAAGTGATATTTATTTAATATTTTATGATGTAGAATCCATCGCCATTTTGGATGTAAAAAAAATAGGTACATCATGGATCATCATGGTACATCATCCATAAACCATTTCTTCACACCATGGACCTATCGCATGGCTGCTTCCCTTAGAGGCCATGAACCAAGGTCCACCTCGTGGCCCGGGAACCCGGGAACTTAGAGCATCAAAACCCAGCAAATCCAAAGATTTTTTGCCGATTTTTACCAGGTATGATGGATTACCAGCTATATTACCAGCTATATTACCAGTTATATTACTAGTATTATGGATATTCTATGTATCATTTACCGCATTTACCAGCTATTTTGAGGTTCCATCGGGTACCATGCTCAGCAGACCCGCAGCCAGATACTAATAGGTTTTTTCATGGAACATAGGTTTTTGAATGGGGAAAAAATCATTGATAAAATGGAGGTTTAACTGGGACAATCATCTAGAAATGGAATGGGTGATTTTTTTCAGCAAACCATGGAGCTGATGACAAGAGGGTAATTTTAGATTGATGATACCGATGAACAGGATGACAAAAAAAGCGCCCCGGGGTTATCCCATCGAAAAAAATGGCTGAACTAACTATGGTGATTGACCCCGAATCATAAAAAATCACTGAGAAAAAGATAGCTATGGTAATTAACCCCTGATGGGGTGAAACACCTACCCGGCCACGAAAAAAAAAACTGAGATCAGCGACCACTGACAGCAGCAGCCTGAGATTGGCAGCCTTGTTGTCGGGCGTGGCGATGGGGGTACCACCATGACTTAGGAAATCTGCAAATAGAGAAAATGATTAAGCTGTGGATTTAGAGATACCCTAGGCCCTATTTTCAAACAAATTCACATATATATATACACATATGTATCTGAATATACATGTACACACATACATCTCTCTCTCTCTATATATATACATATAATATATAAAATGTATATTTTCATCAGGGTTCTTAAAATGGGGTCCCCAAGTCACCATGGTTGAATGAATGAATTCGGCTAGAACTGGGAGTATTCACATTTTTAGAAACATCCATATATATATACAAAATATATGTACATATATATACATATACATATACATACATATATATATACATATATATATACATATATATATATACATACACATATATATATATATGTATCATTATGTATCTATAGACATACGCATTACATGTACAAAGACATTTAGATATTTCTATTGCAACTCACCTGAGACGATGATCCAATAGCTGACGAATATTTTGGGAGGTTGAAACCACTTGCCAGAGACACACACTAGACATCGTATGCATTGACACGCGGATGGATATATGCCACACCCACATATATATATACATATATATACATTTCTATATCTATATCCATATCTACATCTATATCTAATATATATATAAATAATATCTATATCTATATCCATATCCATATCCATATCTATATCCATCATGTATAGTATATATTTGTACGAATCAAAGGAAGGGGAAAGTTAACCGGTGCATCCTCAATATTTTTAAGGAAGAAGCCGCGCCGCTTAATGGAGTATGTGTGCATTGAAACTTTAAGGCTTTTTTGAGTCGCCATCCATATGAGGAAACACGATCCCTAATTGACAACATCTTTTGCGTATGGGTGGCTCAACCACCAACCAACGGATTCGGACGACGACCTATATATGGATCCCATCAATTATCCCGACAATTTTCGAGACCAAATATTTGCATTGTTTCCTAGTTGTGTTCCTAGTAAACATATTGACAATGTATACTTTCTTCCTGGAATGGCTGGTGAAATCCGAGTATGCTTATTAATCCCATTCAAAATGGCATGTTTAAGTTATATCCCATTAGAAAATCACCAGTTTATGCCATTGATTGCCATGTTAAATGGTTGGGTAAACGCTTCAATGCTTCATCTTCAATCTTTCCCAT